TGAGGTGTACACCCTGATGGTCTTTTGGAGTCCGTGTAGCGTGCCCACCCCCAAGATCCTATATGTATGTGTTATGAGAGTGTGAGTAATGTGAATGTCTAAGTTGTGGGATAAAATTGAGCCACAAGAAGCCAGAAGGGGACAGAGGGGGGGGATGCCTCCCCTGCACCCTGGTGACACACCTTTACCCCAAGGCCCTGCATGTGTGGGTGATTGTGGTGGAGCGGGAAGAGGGAGGCAGCTGGAGATGGGGAGGGAAGGAAGGGAGGGGCAAGTGACCCCTCCCTGGGGCCAGCTCCCCCGCTGACCCCTTAGTATCAACTGGACATTGCTTAAGTGCCACAGCCCAGGTTTTGCTGCTGAGCATTTCCATCCCTTTATGACAACAGTGTCTCATCTTCTGATGCCTGCTTCCAGCATGTTAACATGCCATATCACAAAGCCCAGATGATTTCAAAGGGGTTTCTTGATCATGACAATGAGTTTACTGTAATCAAATGGCCTCCACAGTCACCTGATCAATAGAAAACAATCACCCAAACTTTATTTATGAAGCACATTTCATACAAGTTGGAACGTGGACAGGAAGTTTAATGCCCACCGAGCTACAGAAACGATCCAATAATTAAAAAACTATGAGTTGTTGTAAAATGATTGGCAAAAAATAAAGACACAAAATCACTCAAAATAAAGAGAATGAACAAAACCTGCTATACAGTTTATGTCAGAACAGTAAAGTACGGGAATGCCGGTGAGAGAAAGAAAGAAATTATACAGTTTTTCTAAAGATATAATACCTACTTTCATTTTACCTTCATGTTCTTTTAAATAAATATTTGAACAAGTGTAGATTCTTTTCACTGAAAAAAACAACTAAATCCATCACTGCTATTTTGTGACATAGTCGCCCTTGATGGTTTGATTTAATAGATCAAACCAACAACATTTCACATTTATTCCATATTATACCGTTTTTAAAGTGACATAAATTAATGATAAAAAAATTTGCTGCATTACCAGTACGTAGCCGCTGGGGGCACCAAAGTCACTGTTTACAGCGTAGCTCCACGAGCTCCTGGCTGGTAGCGTGGAGTTGAAACCAGAGAGGAGGTCGCTGTAGTAGTTTTGTTTTAAAGAAAAAGTTACAGAAACTCGTTGGAGACAGAATAGAGTGTGAGTGGTTTACATGGTGACAAACTACAAACTCAGAGGTAATTATTTGTTCATATGAAACAGTCAATTAGAGTGAAAAACAACAACGTTTAGTTCGGGCTCGCTGACTTCTGCATGGTCGCTAGCTAGCTAGGACTTAGCTCCAAGAGCTACTTGGCTAGCTGGCTAGCGAGGTCCAGCCCAGAAGTTGTTTACTTCAACTTGTGGATGTGGTCACCCCTTGAGCTTTTCACGACTTTTCTTGGGGATAAGAGAGCAAGGACTAACAATTCACACTGGATTTAACACTGTGCGCTGTTAGGAAACTAGCAGGATGTCCACAGAGGTTGAGTGTGCTCAGGTTGACTCGGGTTTGACAGCGGCCAGCCCGAGCGGAGTGGTGGAGAAGAACCAAAACACGTCCCAGGGTGCTCACCTGGACAAAGGACAAGATCAGGGGCAGAAAGTCTTGGAAAAACAACTAGCGGACAGCCACGACTCCGGGGCTCCCAAGAGCCCAGCGGATATAGAAAAGGAAAGCAAAGAAAACTGTAAAGAAAACGACCAAAGTAGTAACGCTGACTCGGCTGTTGAGACGGTGAAGAAGAAAGTTGTTGAAGCGCCTCCGCCGAAAGTCAACCCGTGGACTAAAAGGACCACGGGCAGAGTGCCGGTCAGCAGTACCAACTCTAGCTCTCAAGACAAAGGTGAGACGGATTTGAAAAAAATCATGTATTAAGACAGATTCAACATTGCAATATGGTAACAGCTGGCCACACAGCTCCCTCTGCAGCCGCAGCTATTAAACACGTTTTTTGCTTTGCAACATTTTAGCAGCTTCACTGCAGAGAAATCAACATTAATCTTTGCTGCACATCCCTGACATATCTCATTTAGGCTTATTTAGAGTTGAATGGAGTGCATAACTTAAATGTCAGAGCGGTCGAGAGATGTTGATGGGAGCATACTGCCCCATCCCCCTCTGTGCTCGGATTGCTCCGTAGCACCACGTGTTGATTGCTGACAACTGCTACTTCTTTTAGCCACCACCAGCTAACTCTCGTGCTGCTTTCCCCCCTCTTGATCGAGGGTCAGAGCTGGTGTCTGTGAAGTGAAAGTACACGAAAACCTGAATGATTTCGTGTAATCATTCTTAATGTCGTGCATACATGCTTGACACTGTAAAAACAAACATAAGTAAGTAAGTAAGCTCCAAGACAGCCTGGCTAACTGTTCCTGCTGCTCTACAGCACGTTTTGCATGTCCAATGGCCTGGCTGTCTGCAGTTCCTCCCACCGGCCAGCCAGCTCCTCACTGTCACTAGTAAAAGTATCAGAATAAAGTGGCTGAACAGGTGGATAAGATAAAACGGGACAGGGTTGTAATCTAATGATTATATTTATTTTTGAAAGAATCGAACAATTATGAGTGAGACCAGTAAATCGTTTGTTTTAGTAAAAAAGAAATTGACTTAAGTCACTTGAGCCAAGTCTGGAAAACATTGATAAGCTTCAAGTATTTTCAATATTAAAAAATAATGGAGAAAAAAAAGTGAGGTTTGCAAATGGAGCTACATTTAATTTGTCAATTGATTAAAATAAATCTAAACATTCCTTCATTCCTATTCATTTCAAAGTGACACAATTGGGTCATTTTTTGTGTCATGAATTTTTTTGCCTGATTGCTGATCATTTCTTAAAATCTGTTTCGTATTTATTATTTAATTTACTCATGTAATGTGGCAACCATAACAAGTACACATAACTCTACACAGTACAGGGCACACAAAAACAATGAGAAGAAAGAAAACCCATACTCAGGCAAAATACAGAATCAAATAACACCCTGAAAATGCACAGAAGAGTTTAAGCTTTATAAGACAGTGATCTTTTTGTGCATTTAAAGCTACAGCCAAAAGACATTTAGTTGACAAATAACAGTACTGAAGTAGCAGGCCGCTGATGGTACACATAAGGTTTAACTGATTCCTCTTAGTGTTAGTAATAAATTAACTTTGATGCTGAAAGCCTGTATTAAAAATAGGTGTGGGTGGGGGTAGTTAAGCTTACGATATTTGGAGGTTTAGAAGGTAGGAAAAGTTTATTTGAAAGAAGCTGTCAAGCATTGTGGGATATGTAGGATGTAGGGTTCATGGCCGGCAATGAGGAGTAAAATTAAACACAAGTCTGTTTATAATCTGTTTTCTAGCTCTGCTTCTATTAATCAGATATCACAACTGAACGCAATACCTTTCTATCTATAATATATAATCAGTTGATCATTTCAGTATCAACAGTTCATTTGATTGACTCATGAGGCTGCTGATTGGTCACTGAGTGATCGCATTTATTTAATCGTACACGTGACAGTCGACTCTGAAATACAGCTTTCTTGAGTTCAGACCGTTCAGCTAAATTTGAGTTGTGAATGTGTGTCAGAGCGCAGAGCAACCAGGAGGGAGCTATATTTTAAGCGCACGACTCTTGCAAGACCACAGGCATCATTTTACAGCGTCACTGTACAACCAGTCTCGTGGGTGGATGTCTGAAGGCTCATTCAGGCATACACCCATTCATATGGAAGCCTCGTCCCTGTTTCTCTTATCAATCTGACCATCCACTGTCGAGCTGATAGGAGCTGTCAGGCTGCAGTGGGCCACTCCCAGGACGCAGCAGCCTGCAGAGACGCAGCCACATACCGCTGGTGCTGCCTGTGCACAAAACACCCTCAACAAGTCGTGTCACTTAGTCCGTGGGGGGAGCACATTTATTCTTTCTGTACTGACAGAAATATCCGATGGTGTTCAAACACAGCAGAGCAGCGCATGCAAGAGTAGATAACTTGACTTTTTAACTGCAGTGTTGAGCAATCTTTCACAATCGGAAACTTCCTCAAAGCTCTTCTTAAATTCAGAGAGTTGAAAAGGACTGAAACCCTTTGGATCTAGTCCTGTCCTGTCTGTCAAACATAATGACCTCACTCTCGGTTATTGATTGTGTATCCGCAGATCAGCAAAATGCTCCGAAAGTCGTCCGCGCCACCAAGCCCAGAACGAGAAAAACCAGCAAGGTAATCCTTTTTTACGTTTCTATCCTTTTCTTTAATGTCCATAGTTGCTCAGGTAAGTCTTGAAAATGTCACAAAAGAGATATACGTCAACAGTTAGCACAAAACATCACATCTTACTAATTATTTCCACAGCAAAGTAACCGCAAAGTGTTGTTGAATGTCTCGGCTAATATAAAGAGTGATGTTTTTGCTTGTAGTCTTTTCTTCCTGGCAAATAAACCACTATAAAATGATCACGTTCACATTGCGTTGCCTGTGGATTTTCGTACGTACTGACATCTAGAATGGGAAATAACCATCTGCTGATAGCCTGACTGTTTAAGCTGCTGACCTGTGGTTTTTGTTTGCTTTTCCAACCAGTCTTTCCACTGCAGTTACTTGAAGTTCACATTTAGAAGGATTTGGATTATATGAAGATAATATCATATATAAAATGGTCATGTTTATTGACCAAAAAAAATACATGTTATGATTGTTAAGCAGGGGAAGCGTTTAGTAGTGCGTCCGCTCAGTGGATCTTTAATTCCACTGAAGATTGATACACTGTGTTTTTAATACCCAGTTTATGTGCTTAAAGTGTGACATACTATCTTATCTACTCATGCTTTTGCCACATATTGTGGGCTTTTATGTAACCTGAGGAATTATAATGCAACCTGCAGACCTTTCCTCATCAGGGTCATAGTCACAGTTCTACAGGACCCCATATTATCATTACTACACAGTTACTGAATGTTGTCTGGTAGTCATACACATAATAAGCAAACTGATGTTAAATACATCGAATCACAAAGCCTGGTCCCTTCATATGTGTTTAGAAAAATGTAACAAGTAGTTTCATAACTTTAAATAGTATTACTTGCACGCTCGATTTCTGTATTCACCACTCTCTACATATGAATAGAGTACTGTGTTTTGTTTTTGCTGTGCTTATGATCTGTTACCTCTAATGACTGCTACTCCTTTAGTCGTATCGTGTCTGAAAAACAATAATTTGGGATGAACTGGAACAGAAGCTTTTTCGGTCAGTACTCATGCATTAGAGCAGGGGTTGTTTAAAAGCCTGAATCCCTTTAGGATAAAGTTAGTTGACTTTCTGTTTGATGCGCTTCATATCGTAGAATGGATATGGTTAGAGAAATCAGCATTTGAGTTTGTGTTTATTTTTTCTGCCCACTATACTCATCACTTCTGGAGTGTGTACCCTTTGTCTGCCTAACCTTGATCCCATATCACTTTCCCCAAATTTATGGAATTTTCAGCAGTGGAAATTGACTCACTATGTTTATCACGGTTGTTTGCAGTTTTTCCCCGCACACACACACAGAGCACTGACCTCCTTTTTCTCTATGCTGGGCACTTCAGTGCTACCTGCTCACCCAAAAAGCAAATGAAAAGATTCCTGATCATTATATCATCCTTTGAAACATGACAGTCTTTCTTCCTCTTTCACAGTCAAGTGACTTCAGTGACATCACTAACTGGCCTACGCCTGGAGAACTGGCCAAAGAGGTATGATATGTGTGAATGCAACTTCTTTTACAAGCAATGAGAGCTTGTTTTCTGGTGCTTCTACTAGCCGCGTCAAAGATGGATTTATCTTTCAAATTTCTGCTCACTAGGTGGAGCGCTAGAAGCATTCTGAAGTGTTCAGGGTGTAGCTTTGCAGAGGGTTGGTGCAGGTTTTTAAAAAGGGGCTGGCTTATAAAATGTAAAAAGGTATTCTGGTTTTGATCTCACATGGTCAGATGTGTGATTGTGGGGGGGGGGCGTTATTCAGAACCTGATAAAGCTGAAACAGGTCTTCAGCTGACTGTGAAAATTTTTAAACTCACCTCAGGTTCTTCTAACAACTACTTCAGGTTTTGTAAGGTACAGGCGACAGCGGTGAAAATATAACTAACTAAAGGGACTCTAGATTTTTCCTTTTCCTCAATCTCTGCTGATTCTCCAGCACTTAATCTTCAGTATAGTTCAAGATCTGATGAATTTAGAAAAGTTAAAAATATCAGGAAATATTTAAAAATCTTCAAATGTAAAGTTTGATTAACTGGAGAAGCACCTGATGTGTTTTTCATCACGAAGAATATTTAAGTTATTAAAAATGTTGTCATTGTC